TGTGCTAAAGGAGTTTTTTTTTTTTTTTTTTTTTGAGAGGTTTTCACTATAGGGCGCATGCGCTCACCAGAAAGACACAGAGAGACAGAGAGAGATGGAGAGACAGAAAGCGAGAAATCACTCCCCCAGGGGGATGGCCACGTCGCAATCCCTTCTCTTCTATTCTCCTCTCGGGATCTTGGGCACGTGCACACACACACGCTCGGCATGAGTTTAAGCCACTGGGTCCGGGACTTGAACCACAGTCGACTACATTGGAGTCCAGCGACATAGCCGTTACACCAACTGCTGGTGCCAATATTTTTTTTAAGTCTTTTATTTCTCTCGTGATACAGAGAGAGAGGTAGAGAGAGGTATTGACTGGATCTCATCATGCTGTGATCCTTCCTCAGCCTCTTAGCCAACCAGGAACCCGGATGCACCCGGTGTGTTCAGGTCAACCCAGGATCTGAACCTGAGATCTGAACCCAGGCCTCCCATTGGCTCCAGCATCACACAACAGCACTTTATCACTTGCACCATCATGGCTGGGCCTCTGACCCCATTTTCAAGGCTATAAATAGGCTGCAGTGCTGTCCAACCAGGGGACCCTAAGTAACTTTCGTACACAGACACTCCTGTTTTCAGGGCAGCAAAGGCCGCCCTTCCCTAGTTTTTATTATTCTTCAATTAGACAAGAGAGAGCGAGCGAGAGATAAAGCAAGCTGCCAGGTCCGAGACTTGAACTGTGGTCAGCCATGTGGGAGTCTGGCACGCCAACCACCACGCCACCTGCCAGCCCCTCAGCCAAGTGTTTTGAACCCTTTCCCTGTCCTGTGGGAGGTGGTGCAGGACTGAGACAGATGCGGGAGAAAAGCAACAATGGATCAAGGCAACGAGTTAGCCCACAAAGGCCCTATCCAGACCCTAAGGACCTGGCCACTAGCAGTGCATTCAGAGCTTCTTATGCCAACACTTGTCCCAGGAGGTCCCAGCACTGGAAAACACTCTGCTAGGAATCTGGGGTAGGAAAGGGCTCCTCTACTGCCTTCCCCTCTTACAGATCCCCTCTCAGAGCCAAGGCTGACAGGGCTGACTTTATTCATCTGTTCAACCCAGTCTCAGTTACCAAGCTCCTTCCAGTCTCTATGTGGAGCCTGGGCGAGGTGCTGGGGACTCAGTTATTCCTCTTATGCAGTTATCCAGCGTATTCATGGCAGGCCCTGTCCACCGTGGAGCCCAGAATCAAGAGCGAGGCTGAACTAAAGGGTCTTGGAAGACCTCTCAGTCCTCTTGGTCTCCATCCATCTAGAAACTAATACCGTTCACTCTGCCTTTCTAATATTGCTGGCTTGAAGGTTCCAGAGAGAAAGTCAAAAGGGTTTGGAAGTGAAACTGCCATGGGACACCAGTTGTAGTGTCTTCTTGTTCTTCTGTCACATGACAGTCACCTGAGTTCCTCCCTTGGTCACTGTTTGTGCAGTGGCCAAGATGGGTCTGGTACCTGCCCTCTGGGTGTCTGGTTCACACTGCCTGCCTGGGGTGGACAGATCAGCAGAAATTTCTCGGCTCCAGCAGTGAGGTCTGAAGTAGCCCAGGGGAGCTCCGGTGGTGAAGCCACCACCCTGTGCTCACTGAGCTTCCCGCATGGCACGCTGGTCTGGGTATTTGGCATGGATTACTCTTTTCCTCTCTGTCCAGGGATGTGATCAGGTTGCAGGAGATTCACAGGTGGCGAGAAGAGGGCTGCGTCCCTTTCTGGTCACCCGCCCTGTCAGAACTTTAAATAGCAACACTGCACCCACTCACGAATACCTCAGAGGAGCCAGCCCCTGCAGACGTAAACCAAAGAGCGTCCAGATGGCTGGCCGGGGCCCACTCTGCCTGTCCACTTCTCACTCCTTTAAGGCACAGTCTACTGGGGCCATCCCACCCCGACTCCCGGCTCCTCCCTCATCCCTGCACGGAATCGCCTACGCCGTTTCCCTGCGTTTCCTTGTTATTGGCCGGGTATTGATTACAAGCTTTATGGTCTGTGTGCTGGCACTTTCAAGAGCTCATGAAAGTCAGATTGGGTCATTTTGCTCCCTGAATCCTCAGCCTTTGGCTCAGGCATGGCACAGATGAAGTGCCTTGTGACCATGCTGTGTGCTCAGAGACCTGCTGTGGCATCCTCCACCCCCGCAGCTAGGCTGCTCTCGTGTGGCTGACCCACGTCTGACTTCTCTGTGAACCCGCCCCATTGTGCATTCAGGTTAGGTTCGATGTCTAAGATCCCCTGGCTCCCTCCTTCCCCCCGAAAACCAGGCCAGCTTGTCCTCAGGTGACAATTCACAGCTTGGTTTACTGGGCCCTTGAGGGGCAGCACCTTATCTTGACTTCGAACCTGAGTGTGGCTCTGGGCCCCCCTAGCAGCCGCAAGGTTTCTGGAGCTGGAGAGCTGGGGAGGGTTTAGGTCCTCTGCCACCTTCTGCAAGTAGCTTTCTTTCTTTGGACTTTGCTTCTTCCTCTTGGTAGTAGAGACAGCCTAAGAGGCTCATAAAATTGTAAAGGGCTACTGCTCCTCTTGCAGGAATCATTTGCATGCCCCCCACACACATAGACACTCAACCAGGTTTGTTTGTTTATTTGGTTTTTAAGAATTATTTATTTAATTTTATTTGTTATTATTATTCTTCAATTAGACCAGAGAGAGAGAGAGAGAGAGAGAGAAAGCAAGCTGCCAGGTCCGAGACTTGAACTGTGGTCAGCCATGTGGGAGTCTGGCATGCCACCCACCATGCCACCTGCCAGCCCCTCAGCCAAGTGTTTTGAAGGGGGGCAGGACTGTGGACGGGGCCAGGCCATCTTCCTGCCGCAGCAGGTCGTGTAGGAGAAGCATCTTTCCCAGGGTTTCTGTAGCCAGCGCTCAATTTTACAGGGGAAGGGAGTTCAGCCTGGACCAGGGTTAGGGTCTGACCTGAGGTTGGGGCTGGAAGTGCAGGCCAAGGTCAAGGTCAGTAACTCACCCTCTGCTTTTCTCTCCATAGGGTGCCAAGTACCGGGGCTCCATTCACGACTTCCCCGACTTTGACCCCAGCCAGGATGCCGAGGCGTTGTACACTGCCATGAAGGGCTTCGGTGGGTGCCGGGCCACTGAGAGTGGGTCTTGCCAACAGTCAGACTCACTGCAGGTTGTGGGGGGAGAGTCCCCAAAGGTGGGCACGGCCCAGAGCCCTTCTGGTGGGCAGGTGGGGAGGATATGAGACGGTGAAATGCACTTATTCTTATTTTTCTTTATTTTTATCTCTTTATTTTTTCTCTTCTTATTATTTTTATAATTTTATAATAAAATATTTCAGGCCAGCAGATAGGTATAAAGAATAACGAGGCATCACCTACAGGTCTGCTGCCCAGCTGGAGAAGCAGCTTCATTAGTGTAGTTGGTAGTTTCTCCCTCCTCTCCCTGCCTGTCCTTGGGCTATACCTGGGTTTTCCAAGCCAGGCTCATTGGGAGACCTTGGGCCAGACCTCGCCCTTCTCTGAGCCTCAGTTTTATTATTCATGCAGTGAGGATTTAGAGCAGAAGCCCTCTGAGATCAGTCGTAATGTGAGCTGTGACGCCTTTCATTGGCAACCTAACAGGTCCCCATCGACCCTCCACCCAGACCACTCTACCTCATGAGCAAATGACTTATGCCAAGGACTACAAGAAGTTGCTAGGCCTATGTCCAAGAGAGGAAGCAGTCCCAGTGGGCTTCCTGGAGGCAGACTAAGTAGGGTGACAGCTGCCCTCCCCTTTTCCAGGTAGTGACAAGGAGGCCATCCTTGAGCTAATCACCTCCCGGAGCAACAAGCAGAGGCAGGAGATCTGCCAGAGCTACAAGTCCCTCTATGGCAAGGTAACCATGGCACTTGGAGGGCAGGTGGGTGGGGGCGAAGAGTGCTTTCATTCACCAGCATGTCTGTTCCTGAGTAGTGTATTCCAGGTAGGCCTCTGTGCGGACACTTCTGCCCTCGATAACTTCACCTTGTCCTTTTCCTTCCTTCCAGCCCATCATCTGTCAGCCTCATGCCCATCTAGGGCACCTGCTGCTGCTGGGCTCTGTGTGAGCTGTCAGGGCTAGGCTGGTGAATAAGACCTGAGGTGTCCAGTCTGTGGACTCCCAGTTAGTGGGGCAGACACTCAGGAACAAGGAAACAGACAGTGGTGGGCAGGGGCACGGTGCAGACTTGAACCTGCACAGCCATTGCTCGCTCGTGGCTTTGGGCAAGTTACCTGATGTCTGGAAGTCTGTTTCTTAGGGCTGACACTAGCGCATCTCCCCAAGAGTGACAAGTCAGTGAGATTCCTTAGCCCAGTGCCTGTTGGGGTTAGTGCTCAGGAAATGCAGTTTCCATCATGGTAACTACTCGTCTTTTTCCCTTTTGTCTCCTGCTTTTCCCCACCCCCAGGACCTCATTGCTGACCTGAAGTATGAACTGACAGGGAAGTTCGAACGGCTCATTGTGGGCCTGATGAGGCCGCTTGCCTATTGTGATGCCAAAGAAATTAAAGATGCTATCTCAGTAAGAATTTGTGGGCCTGTGTGTGTGTGTTGGGGGTGAGAGTTGGCTGATGAGAAGATTCCAGATTCAGCAACAAGCCATGAGTGAGCCCCACACCCCCACCCCCAAGCAGATGTGCCCTGCTTCAGGAGGTAGCTTGCCTAAACCCTATACCAGAGGAGCATTCCAGTTTCCTCCAGATAGGCAGATGTGGCCAGATGTCAGTGCAAAGCAAATCAATGAAAGGGGCTTTTAGCCCAAATTCTAGGTCAGCAGGGTAAGACCAGCCCACAGTGGCTTGAGAAAGCATCCTAGAAGGTAAGAGGATTTGGTACATAGGAATGCAAAGGCTATTCCAGGCTGGGACAATGGCAGGAGAAGTTAGAGCAGTATGTTTAGGACACAGAGTAGTTCAGTCTGGTTGAGGTAGAGGGGTAACTTCTAGGAAGAAAAGAGAGTACATAGCACTTTACAGTTTATAAAGTGCTGTGAGCTTTGCCTCTGATAAGCTATTGGGTTGTCGAAAAAGCCATAACATATTTTTCTATGCAAGATGTGGCCAGATGTCAGTGCAAAGCAAATCAATGAAAGGGGCTTTTAGCCCAAATTCTAGGTCAGCAGGGTAAGACCAGCCCACAGTGGCTTGAGAAAGCATCCTAGAAGGTAAGAGGATTTGGTACATAGGAATGCAAAGGCTATTCCAGGCTGGGACAATGGCAGGAGAAGTTAGAGCAGTATGTTTAGGACACAGAGTAGTTCAGTCTGGTTGAGGTAGAGGGGTAACTTCTAGGAAGAAAAGAGAGTACATAGCACTTTACAGTTTATAAAGTGCTGTGAGCTTTGCCTCTGATAAGCTATTGGGTTGTCGAAAAAGCCATAACATATTTTTCTATGCAAAAATGCATCATGACTTTTCAGACAATCCAACATTAAGCATGAATTCCTTCCTTGAATTGATGTGATTAGTAATGTGACAGATCATTACCTTCTGCATTTCCCTGTGAATTTGGTGGAACAACTAGTGTCTACGCCATTTTGCAGTTGAGAAAACTGAGGCCTGAGAATTGTTAATGAGAAGTCACAAAGCAAGTTGCTGGCAGAGGCAGGACTGGAGTCCATGTCTTTTGAATCTCAGGGCACCAGCTCTCAATCATTGCCTAAGAGTGTCATGGGTGCACTACATGCTAAAAGTTTCATAACTCTAGCCACTCCAAGATCCCAACCTGTGGCTAATGGCCTTCCATCCCAGCCCTCGTCTCATGTGCTTCTCCTTCTGTTCTCCCAGGGCATCGGCACTGATGAGAAGTGCCTCATTGAGATCTTGGCTTCCCGGACCAATGAGCAGATCCACCAGCTGGTGGCAGCATACAAAGATGGTGAGATGGGCAGGAGGGGCCATTTGGGATTTTTTTAGGTACAAAATGAGGATGGCACAAGGGTGCGGACTGAGACTCCATCCTGTACCTTCTTTCCCCCTTCCTTCTGATACCTCTGTCTGTCTATCCATCTATTCAATGAGTGATGAGTTCCAGATGCCAAGTTCTTGGGATATAGTGGTGGATAAAACCAATGTAGTCCCTGACTCCTAGAGTTTATAGACTAATGAGGTAAGGAAGGAGACAGATAAGGTAAACAGATAAGCACAGTGGTAACACAATGTAGTTAAATGTAATAAAGGAAATTAATAAAATATAGGAATTAAGACTTTCATTAGGCTGGACTTACTTCTAACAGGTCAAGGAGCACCTGACCTCGGAGGAAACAAGGAGCCAATTGTATAAAGATGAACTTTCCAACAGAAGAAACAGCAGTCCAAAGACCCTGCAGCAGAAATGAGCTGGTAGCAAGTATGAAGTTAGCAAGGCAGGGGACAAGGAGGCTCACACAGGAGTTTGTAGGCCAAGGGAGAGCTGAGGTTTTATTCTGAGTCTGTGATTGGATATGGGTTTTTAAGACCAATCAGTCTAGATTAGAGAGGGCATAAAAGCAGAAGCAGAGAGAATTGCTAGAAAGTTGTGACCACTGTCTAGGTGAGAAACAATGATGTACATGGTAGGATAGTACAGCTGGGGATAGAAATAGATATCATTTCATCATGTCAGGGTCAGTACCAAGAACTATGAAAATACACACTGGGTCTTACTATAACTGTTGTGTAGATTGAGTTTGGGGACTTGTAACAAATACCAGATCATTTTGTGGATAGTGCCAACTTTAATCCTAGATCTTCAGGGTCTCTGGGAATGGGACTAGCACTTGTGTCCTTCTTGCAGCCTATGAACGAGACCTGGAATCTGACATCATCGGTGACACCTCTGGCCACTTCCAGAAGATGCTCATAGTCCTGCTCCAGGTTGGTCCACATTGGGGCCCTAAAATCCTCCCTAGAGTTCTTTGTCCTGGTGAAGACCTGAAGGCACCTTTTTCCCTGCTTCTCCAGATTGGGTGGCCTGTGAGGGCCTTCTCAGATGTAAAGTCCCTTTCTTATGCTGTACCTTCCTTATTCTCTCTCCACCATAATTATTACCTGTTTTATCCTCTAGAAGTTGAGATAGTTTTTATCTGGCTCACCTGGATATAGAACCTGGGTATGGCCCAGAGAGCTGGTCTGATTGCTCTGGTTTTCACAGGCAGGTGTGCCTGGTGACCCGCATTTACCTTGGCACACTCCTCTGTCCCACCCAGGGGTATCCGCTCCTGTGACCCCCACTTCCTCTCTCCACATGCACCCTCCCCTCATCTCTGGGCCTCCCTCCTGCCATTTCTTCTTCATCCATGACACATGCTGAGGACATGACCAGGAACGGGCATTTCAGGGGCTGCCTGCATCACATCTTCCACCTCAAAACCTTGCTGCCTCCCCCCAACGCACTTAAACGAGTATGAAAAGATTAGTTAGAGGCTACAAACAGGGCCTTCACTGAATTCAACCTCCCAAAGTTTGATTTTCTTTCTTTTTTCCCACTGTGTAGGAAAAAAATAGAGCAAGTTTGAGTTAGTTGCTAATATGTAAAAATAGTGAGATTCTGCTTACAAACCAGATTTCTATACAGTTTGCTCTAGTTTAAAACTCTGGCAACAGCAGACCTTCATTCTGCATGACTACATGGTCTGGAGAGCATGTTTCCCCTGCCCATTTCACCACAAACTCTATCTGCCTGGCCTTATGGGAATCTCTGTGACCACAGGCGCATGGGAACAGGCTCAGTGTCTCCAGCACCATTCCATGGACCACACTGTTGTGAAGCTTTATATATAAGCCACTGCTTTGTCCCCTCTCAACACTCCTCTCTTGCCCCCCACCCCCCCTTGACACCAGTTCCTCCCAATTCTCCTCCCATACCATCGCAAGTCACAGCCCACATTGAATGACCAGGGAATTCTCAGGGGAAGCATCAAGAGTGGAAATTTATACCTTTGTCCCATTTTCAAAGCCACTTGTTCTGGAAAGGAAAGTCATGCCCTCAGATTGTGCAGGTAAAGGTGTTAACTCTTTGGGCCGACCCCATGGTGCAGCAGTTAGGCCCTATGCAGAGAGAACCAGATCCCATGTAGCTGACCACAGTTCAAATCCCGGTCACTGCAGTTTAAAAGTCACACCAGGCACCTGTGTACAAGTCCAGGATCCTGTCAGGATTGGAGAAATGCAGGGAAAAAGGATTGCAGTGTGACCAGGCCCCACTGGAGGGTTTTTGTTTTCTTTCTCTCTCTCTCTCTCTCTCTCAATGCATGTGCCCCCTGCAAAAAAAAAAGGGGGGGGGGAATGGAAAAAGATGTTATATACTCAACCTCTTACAAGTGAACTGTAACATGACACAGACTGTAAGAGTTTCAGCTTTGTCTTACTCTCAGTCCCAAAGAGAGCCCAGGGCATTTGAGAACCTGAAGTACCTAATCCACGGGGGAGAGAGAGAGTAGCATGGGCCGGCTGAGCTACTTCACACCTCAGGTCCAGCACAGCCTGCCCTATTCCTCTGAGTGTCTTCCTGTTTGTCACCCTCCTCTCTCAGATGGGGCACAGGGCATGGGCAGACCAATAGAAACACCAATAGGATTTGGTACCCTTGTAGCTTGTGAGCTCAGACCTCAGAACTCAAGTCCCAAATCCTCTCGTTGGTGAATACTTTGGTTAAGATCTGGACCCTCTAATGGAACACAAATGTGCAGACCCTTTATACCCTTGAGTCATTGTCTCGGGGATACTGTGGGCAGTGGAAGGACCTTGCTTCTCCTTGGGACTCTCTTATTTGGTCCCAGTCCTGAAGATGAAGGGAGAGGTCAGCAGGAGGGACCCTGTGATTCCCCCACAAAACAGATACTGTAGTCTTTAGAATTATTTATTTAATTTTATTTATTCATTCATTTATTTTAATTTGACTAGAGAAGGAAAGTCAGAAGGCAAGCCACCAGGTCTAGGACTCGAACCATGGTTGGCCATGTGGGAGTGTCCAACGCCTTTAACACTATACCACCTGCTGGTTCCCCAGATACTGTAGTCTTGATCTATGGCAGCTTTTTTTCCTAAAGATTTATTTATTTAAGTTTATTTATCATCTTTTTTTTTTTTTTTTTTTTTTTTCCAGAGATTTTTTTTGACCAGAGAGAGAGTTAGGGAAAGTGAGAAAGCAAGCCACCAGGTCCAGACCTCGAACCACAGTCAGCCATGTGGGAGTCCAGAGCATTAACCACCACACTACCTGCTGGCTCCTTGATCTGTGGCAGTTGTCAGCCAATGCCCCCCCCCACGTCCCCACCCGTGGTACTCTGGGCTGCCAGGGTTTCCCCTTCTCTTCCATCTCCACCCCTGGCACCCAGGCCTTCCTCCTGGCTCTGTGGTGTCTGAAACACATATCCTCATCGTACCCAGGGAACCAGGGAGGAGGATGACGTGGTGAGCGAGGACTTGGTCCAGCAAGATGTCCAGGTGAGCAAGCACCTGTGGGAGTCCCTGGGGCATGGCAGGGGAGCCTTGAGAGAGGGGAAAAGTTGAGCACCATGGGAAGGGCTGGAGGTGAAGTCATTTGCATCAAAACCAGAGATTACTGATTTACCATCATTGACACAGTGTTTTATTGAAGAAAAGATTTATGTTATCTTTCAGATATGTAACATATGTAAAGTTGGTGAGATATATTTTGGCGTTTCATAATTCATGTATTCATCTCATTATCTCACATTTCTTGAAGTAAAGCACCTACTATGTGCTAAGCACTCTGTCAAACAGAGTAGGATTCAATAACGGACAAAATCAGACGGTACTTGAAGAGATAGACAGGCAAGGAGACTTCAGAAAGTTCATACATATTATGAAAAAACTATGCATGGATTTCAAAATATTTTGCACCAAAATAAACTCATACTTTAATTCCATCTTCTGTAACTCTTTAAAGTGCTCTTGTATTAATCATGCAAATACTTTCTCAGTCAATAAGCTGTAACGAGCCCCCACTGTGTGCTAGTAACATGACAGGGGCAGATGTAGAGACTGCTAAAACATAGTCCCTGTCCATGAGGAGCCCAGCCAGTCATGGGGAGACAGATATAGAGAGAAGTCATTAACGTATGGATCAAAGTCAGGAAGAAGCAGAAAGCTAGAAGAGCCTAGAAGAGGGAGGGAGGTGAAGAGCACTCAGCGTGGGGCATCAGGAAGTGCTTTGGGGCAGAAAACAAAAACAAATTTGGATATTTAATCTAGCCCTAGAAGAGTGAGTAATAGTTTCCCCAGAAAGAAGGAAAGGAAGGTCCACGCAAAGGTCCAGGCCACAGCTTCCTGGCTTGTTCAGGGATCGGGCGGCAAGCAGTTCCGAGATGCTTGGCCAGGGAGTGTGACTCCTGAGGCTTCCTCTTCCAGTCAAGTGCCACCTCCTCTGCTTTAGGACCTGTACGAGGCGGGGGAACTGAAATGGGGAACTGATGAAGCTCAATTCATTTACATCTTGGGAAATCGCAGCAAGCAACATCTTCGGTTGGGTAAGCTCCAGAGCAGACACTCAGTGACCTCTGCACCAGGAATTTCTCTTTTCCTACTAGTGGAGCACAATGGCTATTTCTTCTCCAACTTTAAACCCCAGTCCCGCTTATATAAGCTGGTGGCGTGTATAGTCCCTCACCAGGGTCATGAAAGGATGCTCATCCCTTCCCTCGAGTACTTGTCCTGTCTGCCTGTTAGAGAAGGATGTATAGTACCCCTGTCCTCATCCCTCATGTATGCGGCAAGTTCACATGGTGGCTGGTGATGGCCCGACCTCCTGGCCACCTCCCCAAGCCCCAGCCGCAGCTTCATGTCGGACAGTGAGGCCCCAGCCACTGTGTCCTCCCCCTTTCCAGTCTCTGTTTTAGCGTCACCAGGGCGCTCTCACACCTTCCTGTCTCTCTGTTTGACTCAGTGTTTGACGAGTATCTGAAGACCACAGGGAAGCCGATCGAAGCCAGCATCCGAGGGGAGCTGTCTGGGGACTTCGAGAAGCTAATGCTGGCTGTGGGTATGTCCTGGTGTGGCATTTCCAGGGACTCTGAGGGACTCTGGGCTGCTGGCCCAGGACTGAGAGGTCAGGAATGGGAAAGGGGAATGAAATGGTGGCATGGGGAAGCAGAAAACCTACGGCCAAGGATTCTGAAGGTTTAGCCAGGGCAGCTTGACTGAGACCTGGGAAGAGAAGGGAGTCAAGCCTCAGGTACTCCCTCCCCCTCCCTTCTCAGAGTGGTAGGGGGGAAAGAGCACCGAACTTGGGGTCCATGTAAAAATGGTCATGACCGCAGACTTCTGAGGCACGGCCACCACGTGCCAGGCACTGCACCGTGTTTGATCTTTAAAAAAGGGCCAGGAACATGCCGGTCATTCTGTTTATTTACTAGAGGAAAAAATGAATCTCATAGAGTTTGAGTCACTTGCTGAGGGGTCTTCTGGACTGAATTGGGGGGTTACCGTGCACGCCAGGGATGCCAGGAGCTGACCAGTCAGTGGTGGAGTCAAGATCCTAACCCAGGGCTTCTCTGAAATTTTCTGTTGACTTGAAAGCCACATACCCTCAAGGGGCCTCGGTTTCCTCATCTGTTCAGTGGGGGACAGGGAGAATGGGCTGCCTGACCCCAGAGGCCATCACAGGTCTGACATTGCAATGGGGTAGGTTGTGTGTTTGTACCTGCAGGGGAGAGCTGTAGTCAGGCTTCATGCGCCCTCCCAGAGCTGTCTCCCACCAGCCCTGTTGCATGCGGCCGGGTGTAGCCCGCTCTGCCAGTGGGATCCTTTCTGGTGGGTAGTTGAATCTAGAGAAATATTTTTTCTACCTCTACCCCAGACTCTGCCCACAACCTAGCCCTGTTTCCTGCGAAACCCGAAAGGACTAGAGAGATGAACTGCTCAGATTCCAACAGTCTCATTTCCTGGTTCCTTTATCCCCTGAGTTTGAGCTACTGTCAGAGCCACACTTCTGCTTGTATTTGAACTAGGTGGCCCCCAAGGAACAGAAATAAAGAAGCAGTCGGGCTATCCCATCCCCTCCCAGAATAACCATGCCTCTTCCTCTCACAGTGAAATGTATCCGGAGCACCCCGGAGTATTTTGCCGAAAGGCTCTTCAAGGCCATGAAGGTACAAAGTGGGGTTGATGTGAACAAGGGGAGGAGAGGGGTCTCTGCCCACCCCACAGGACTCCTTGGCAAGTCCTTGGTGTTCGCTGGTTGAAAAGGATCCTTGGGGATAGACTCTGACCCTGGTGATGTCTTTCTGTCCCGGGCGCTTCAGAGCCTGGCGTGCTGCCCAGGCAGATCCTCCCCACCTGCATCCCTGCTCTGACCAGAAGATTGATGGGGTCCAGCGACAGTTTGCACCTGATCCATCCAGCCAATTGGGCTGGCAGCTCACATTTAAAAGAAAAATGGAACCAGCAGATGGCATAATGGCTACGTCACTAGACTCTCATGTGGGTGACTACAGTTTGAGTCCCAGACCCAGTGGTTTAAGTTCACACCAGGTGCATGTGTGTGTATGTGTGCCCAAAATCCCAAGAGAAGAGTGGAGGAGAAGAGATTATGGCATGGCCATCCCTTCTGGGGGATGATTTCGCACCTTCTCTGTCTGCCCCGTTTGTTTGTTTGTTTGTTTGTTTTATATTATTATCATTATTTTTTAATTTGATCAGAGAGAGACAGGAGAGAGAGGGAAAGGGAAAAAGCAAGCCACCAGGTCTGGGACTTGAACTGCAGTCAACCATGTGGGAGTCCAGCACTTTAACCACCATACCACCTACTGGCCCCCCTTTGTTCTTAATTTTAACATTTTATTACAAAATTAGTGTCTTCAACTAAGCTGGGGACTATTAGCATGCCAGTCTCCATCAAGTCCCTATTTGTCTTCCAGGGCCTGGGGACGCGGGACAACACCCTGATCCGCATCATGGTCTCCCGCAGTGAGCTGGACATGCTTGACATCCGGGAGATCTTCCGGACCAAGTACGAAAAGTCCCTCTACAGCATGATTAAGGTGAGCGGAGCTGAGGTGGGGTAAGCCGGGGCCAGGGAGCTTCCTGCCAAGACAGAGAGTCCCTATTTGTCTTCCAGGGCCTGGGGACGCGGGACAACACCCTGATCCGCATCATGGTCTCCCGCAGTGAGCTGGACATGCTTGACATCCGGGAGATCTTCCGGACCAAGTACGAAAAGTCCCTCTACAGCATGATTAAGGTGAGCGGAGCTGAGGTGGGGTAAGCCGGGGCCAGGGAGCTTCCTGCCAAGACAGAGGCTTTGGGG